CTTTTCCTTGGTGGCAGTAGTCAGATACCGCACAACCATTCTTTAGAACAAAGCCAGCATAGAAACAAGGTTTCAAGGGCCACTCGTACGCACATTGGCATTTGGGGTAGGGGTGTCAGCCCCAGGCTCTTACACATCTGTTTTTCTCATCCAAAGAGAGCAGCCTTTGATTTGGAGCCTGCAACCTCAGAGGCCATGCAGTAGGGATGCACTGGGCAGGGTCTTGAGCTTTGAATACCGCCAGTCCTGTCAAGAGCAGGTGGTCCTAGGGACCACCCTGAAAAAGGGAGTCTTTAGAACCTCCCCATTTTAGATGACTGTGAGTCACAAGCTATATTTCCCAAATCCCCAGACAATATTCTTCATGCCCTTGGTTTGGGTCATGGACACTTCCTTTTGCGGCAGGCCGGGTCTCACCGACCGCTGAACAGGCAGACCGCCAGGACAACCGTTTGTGCACTGACTGAGTGGTTAACTTACATATGAAAAGCTGGTAGAGCCAGTGTCCTTATACAAAGGCTGGAACGTCACAAAAGCCCACCAACAGTTTTGCCTAGGCTTTTCCTGGGCCTTGAAGCATGAGAAGATAACAAAGGAGTTCTTAACAGGACCTATTTAGGATTAAACAAGTTTAATTAGGGTCTGAAGAAATTCCCAGACCTCCACAAACAAGTTTTATTGGGGTCTAAAGGAACTCCCCAAACCTCCATGATTTAGCAGGAGACAAGACAAGGATAATCACCCCAGCACATTAGAGTCAGTAAATTTACTGAGGCTCCAGAGGAATGTCTTCAGGACTTAGACTTCAGAGATTAGAAAAAGTTAATCACTTACACCTTTAGATGAATGCACACGTACATAGACATACAGCTTAGAAGGTGTTTAAGCTCTGGACAACATTGTAATTTTGAGTTGGTCTGGCGATATTTTCCCGGCCTTCTCCCTGTACCTGGTTACAGAAGTAAACTCTCTTCTTTTCCAGTTCATCTGCATCTTATTACTGGGCCAGTAATCAGCCTGACCCTCAGTTTGGTTCAGGAATACTTGCTTCCCCCACACTTCTGCCCCGCTCAACCATCCCATGGCTAGAGGGTATCATTTCAGTAGCCTTTTTGGCTAAGTATAATCAGTACATCAGCATCAAATAATTCCCTCAAATTTTGTTCTAAAAACCCCAAATACCTATTGTTTTAAGTGCAAATGTCTGATCACTGTTTTCCAGTTCAATGACAATGGTGACCGTTTTGACCTCCTCAGTGGTCGTCCCCAGGTCCCTTCCTGGTGGCTTTCTCAGGTCTGTATGGGTTGGGTCATCACCTGACCTCACCCTCCCTGAGCAGAGGACAGGGTGGGAGGGAGACTGTGGCTGTGGGAATTTCTGAGTCTTACGAGTTCTGGCCTGGAATTTAAAGTACCATTTGAAGGGTTGACTATAATTACCGTTAGAAGTATGACAGATAAGTTAGGAGGAACTGTCTTGTAATTCATGATTTTTCAGTATAAACAAGGGTTGTTTGTTGTCTCACTCTGTCACCAGGCTGGAGTGCAATGGCCCAATCTCGGCTCGCTGTAAGCTTCGCCTCACAGGTTCAAGCAATTCTCCTGCCTCAGCCTCCCAAGTAGCTGGGATTACAGGCGCCTGCCACCATGCCCAGCTAATTTTTGTGTTTTTAGTAGAGACGGGGTTTCACCCTGTTAGGCTAGTCTCAAACTCCTGACCTCAGTTGATCCACCCACCTCGGACTCCCAAAGTGCTGAGATTACAAGCGTGAGCCACCATGCCCAGCCTAAACTAAAAGGTTTTAAGATACCATTTTTTTTTTTAAACTCTTCGAAAGTGATCAACAGTTCTGTGACTGTTTCTGCCCAAGGCATAATTCCTTCGCTTGTTGACCAGAAGCTGAATCTGAGCCTTGAGAGCCACAGCAGGGAAAATGCCTCAGGGCCTCTAGAGCGCCCTGTAGCTTCCAGCCCCGGACTCTGCAGGCCATTTGTTCCCATGTGGGCTAAGCAGGTCTACATTCTCAATTCCAAGTCTATCACCTTCAATTTGGATTGAGCCTTTGAAAGATTTGACCTTGGCTTCCAAGTTACTATAACACTGGATGGCCAAGATACTGTCATTTTAAATGATCAAACCATAGACATCATATATTTTAAGCACGCTTTAATTATTTCTTCTCTACATCTGCTTCTTATTTAGGATTGTTAACTTTGGTGTTTCTCTAACCTTGAGTCACATCAGTCTTGTTGAACTAATTGAACGTCTTGTAAACTTTATTGGAAACGTGTGCTTTTTCCTTGGTGCTTGCTATTTGTTCCATGTGAGTATTATCACGGACTTGTTTACAGGCTCAGCCTGTTCTGCTTGACTTCAGCCGCTGTTGTCAGGATGTTGAAGTTGTCTCTGCTTGGCATTGGGCACCATCCATATTTAGGCATCTTTGACTTTTGCTGCTACCCTAGACGTCTCCCAGAGTCCTTGCCCTTTGGCAAAACGTTTCCCTGACCTTCTTAAACTTTGCATTTCTTTTCTTTAGGACCAGCCACAGCAGCCCCATATCAGAGGCAGCCCCTGAAGGAGGGGCCTGTGTGTCTCACAGCAAGGCCTTGACCAGGAGCTTTGTGTGTTTCCTGATGCCCAAGTCGCAGCTACCAGCCTTTCCAAGTATTTAAAAGCCCATCTGGCCCCCCACCCACCTATTTCTGCCTTCACACTGCCAAACGCCCTTCACCACCCCTCATTTTTATCAAGATAGACTTTGGCTCTATCACAGCAACAGTGAGGAATGCAGGAAGGGAAGGGTCCCCAGTGTCGCCTTCATGATGGATCAGGCAACAATGAAATACACTCTGTTTCCACTGGGCTCCATTTTTAAACCACTCTGTAATGGGAATAACACTCTTTCCCCACCTTGGGAGAGTATAAGCAGACACACCTGTGGGGAACCTGCCATGCTCCCAGATCCACTTCCTGAATGGTCAGTCAAACCTCACTGTGTGCTGTAAGCGGCTGTGCCTTATCCTGTAAGAACAGCACAGGTGCTAATCTGTTCATATGTGTCTACAGAGCCGTAGGGAAGCTTGGCCACGGAGTGTTGCTGTTTTTAATGGCAACCTTTTTCTTAAGGTCTTCCTCAGAAGTTTTCCCAAGAGGATTCTAAGAAAGTTTAGCAAGGACATTTTTAATACACACTTGAAAAACATCATTCAAAGCCTACAATTTACATATTGGTTACCAGTAAATGGTGTGATCATTATCATCATAAAGTATAAGATACAGGACAAAGGCTTTGCTTCCAGCACTGAAATGAAGTGCTGGGTTCACTCCACTATTGAGAATCTCTTTTTTCTCTTCTTTTCTTTTCTTTTTTTGCCAAGGACAAAGATTGGACTTTCCAAGTAGCAATGTCTAGTCTCAAAGGACAACCAAAGTGCTGTTGGGGACCCACTTCCATGACCTCAAGTCCTTGCAGCCATCACTGACCTCAGCTGGATGAGTCCGGAAGTGTCTATAATACAACCATGTGTATTTCACTGTGCCTCCATTTCCCGTTAGAAGCTTTTTCCTGATATGCCCCAAAGACTGGCTGTTGTTATCTTTGTGATTTGTCTGACAGGTAAAGAAATTTTAAAATAAAGTTTTTATGTCCTCCAGGAACAAAATCATGGCATAGGGTTTAGGAATCACATAACTCATTGTGAAGTGAACTCTCTCTGATATATTTACTGTGATATCTCATGGTTGGCACAGGAGTTTACCTTCTAGAATCACCAAGGAGAACCAAAACCAAGCATAAAATGTTCCTGAGACAAGGGGGCAGAAACATCTTCCCTAAAATGGCCGTAGTGCTTCTGGTATTTAAATGAGGAGCGCGTTTTAGTCTGTCATGTGTATGTAAATGTCACAAAGACATGGTTTGCTGGCAGAGGCGCCATACTAAAAACCAGGACAGCTGCCCCTTGGTATCCATGGGGATTGGTTCCAGGACCCCCATGAACACCAAAATCTGAGAATGTTCAAGTCCCTGATATAAAATGATGTCATTTCTGCATATAACTGGTTTATATCCTCCCATATACTTTAAATCATCTCTAGATTAACTATAATACCTAATATAATGTAAATGCTATGTAAATAGTTGCTATACAGTGTTGTTTAGGGAATAATGACACACAAAAAAGTCTGTGTACACTAGTTGCTATACAGTGTTGTTTAGGGAATAATGACACACAAAAAAGTCTGTGTACACAGATGCAATCTTCTTTTTTCCTCAAATATTTTCTTTCTTTTTTTTTTTGAGAAAGGGTCTCATTCACCTTTTCTCAAAAAATGCAACAGCCCAGGCTAGAATGCAACAGCAGAATTATGGCTCACTGCAGCCTTGAATTCCTGGGCTCAAGTGAGCCTCCCACCTTTACCTCCCTAATAGCTGGGACTACAGGTGTGTGCCACCATGGCCAGCTAAATATTATCTATTTTTTGTAGACACAGGTTCTCACTGTTGCCCAGGCTGGTCGCAAACTCCTAGGCTCAAGTGATCCTTCTGCCTCAGCCTCCCAAAGTGTTGGGATCACAGGCATGAGCCACCAACCCCAGCTACCCAAATATATTCAATCTGCAGTGGGTTGAATCCACAGATACGGAACCCACGGATGTGGAAGGGTGATTGTACTCTCCAAGCAATCTACATGTTGAAAGACTTTCACCAACATAGATACCTACAAATTCAAAGACATTTTCTTTCAGAGAGTGAATCAAACCAATTATCTTTCTAAAAAATTCTTTCCAGAATACTTATTCTAGGAATCCGGTTACACAGACCTCTTTTCTAGCAATATTTAAATTCTACTGATCTTCAAAAGCCTTTAGATAATTAAGTATTTGATACCAATAGCACCAGCAGCTTTCCCTAGAATGAATGCACAGGTGAAGACAGCCAGGGCCTTGGATAACTTAAAAGAAAGAAAGCAAAATAAGATAAAGCCCATGCAAACCATTCTTTAGGACTGATATTAATTTGGAGGTGGGCAAGTATGAGAAAGAATACAGAGAAGTGAAGGCATCTAGGAATTTCCACAGAGGATAACTCCATCTTCATCCCTCCGACAATCCATCCTCCACAAAGCATCTCTCTCAGGTGCCCAAGGGTTCTGATGTTTGGACCTCAAGGCAAATCATATTTTCTTTGCGCTTTGCTTTTCTGTAACAACGAAAAATAAAAGTTGAAGTTAAAATAAATAAATAAGCCATTAGTATGTTCATGATGAAACTGTCGCAAAGTTGTACACAGAAATGAATAAGTGTCAAGACAAATAAAAAATAAGGATAGCAAACAGCAAAGAAGAAGAGGGCTTAGCAAACTATAGCCTGTGGCCCCAACCAGCCTTATTGCCTGTTTTTGTACCACCTGTGAGCTATGAATGGTTTTTTTACATTTTAAATTGTTGCAAAAAATGAAAACATTTCATGGCACTTAAAAAAACTACATTAAATTCAAATTTCAACATCCATAAATAGCATCCTTCAACCATTGTCTATAGCTGCTTCTCCAATGCAGGGGCAGAGCTGAGTGGTGTCAAGAGAGACCACAGGACCCTAAAACCTGAAATATTTACAATATGGCCCTTTCCAGAAAGAATCAGCCAACCCCTGAAGTAGAAGGTTGATCATGTTGTTGCCTAACACAGTCACTTAACTGGAGGCAGCATCCCATTTGGAATCTGGTGACTTTTGGGATACAGGTCATTATCTCCTTCATCTGTGGAATGGGTCTGATAACCATGGAAGCTGCCTCCTAATGTTTTGGGAGGATTCGGTGAAAATGCACATGGAGCTTTCAGGGAGGCAGACACACACAGTAAGCACCCCATGAAGCTGAGCTAGAGTTACAGTCACTTCCATTCCTGATATTCTCCCCTTGCAAGTGGGGAAGAAGAAGTAATCAACATGATCACTCTGGCCATAGACTATGGCTCCTATATATGGAATTGGTATAGTATAGCAGAGAAGATAGACAACGAAATAAGCAAATATTAGGAAGTGTGAAGAGTATTGCCAAGAACCCCAGATGCACAGGGGGTGCAGGTTCTGGGCAGCAGTACCTGCCTCCCCTGGCAGGGTGGGAATGGTTAGGATGAGGTAGTGAAGGGATTAAACAAAACACCTTAAAAGACGACCAAGCTGGGCGCGGTGTCTGACACCTGTAATCCCAGCACTTTGGGAGGCTGAGGCAGGCAGATCACCTGAAGTCAGGAGTTCAAGACTAGCCTGACCAACAGGGAGAAACCCCGTGACGTGATGGCACATGCCTGTAATCCCAGCTACTCAGGAGGCTGAGGCAGGAGAATCACTTGAGCCCAGGAGGTAGAGGTTGTGTTGAGCTGAGATCACACCATTGCACCCCAGCCTAGGCA